CTGTGCTGTTTGCTGGAATAGTTTCCTGTGGAAAAGGTATTCCAGTAAAGGGGACCACCATGCAAAGGTGTGAGCAGACAGTAAAAATAATTTATTTACCACCTAGTAGTTACACTTGTGCGTGACCGCAAGACCACCTCCATCTCACACATGGCTGCAGGCCACAATAAACTCATGACTTCCTCAGTTTTTCTTCCCAAGTATGTACCAGCATCTAGATTATGGACCACTTCTCTCCAGATCCTCTTAGGTAGCCAAGGACTTCCAGAACCTTTGGAAAACATCGTAAAGCCAGTGTACCTAGGAATCGTGCCAGGACCAGCTGCCACAGCATAGTATAGCCCAGCTGTAGACTTGACAAAAAGCAAGTGGGAATAGCCCTCTTAGACACAAAGGTGCACCATTAGCAGTTGAAGCATCTCAGGTGTTTTAATGCTTGGCTCTGCGCAGGCAGCCCAAGGGCAGGGTATGGCCCATGCCAGTATTTGCCAAGAGCACCAAGTCACCAGTTACGCTTTTAGCTCAGAGTTCTTGGCTGCTATACCTTCCTTTTGACTCTCCAGTTGCTACTCTGCTTAAAAATAAATAAGTGCATTACAATAATGGCTGCAAAGAGTCCAATGACAGAAAAAGAGAGTAACTTTTATGTCATTTTTTAAATGTTAGAACTTTTAGAATCTAGGCTTTCAAGCTGTTGTCAGCCTCTCTAGGGGCAGAAGACTACATCTCCCAGCAGAAGTTTTCAGTAGGGCATCAGTTGGCTTGGGATCTAGCAACAGATACATACTACAGTATTTGTTAGTGATATAACTGAATGATCATCTTGAAGATCATGTGTGGATCTGCAGGGGGGCACACAAAGCAACTAGAATAGCAAAGATAACACCAAATGGCCTGCCAGTGCAAGGCAAGAGCAACCTGCAACTATAAATCTCTGAGATGGGGCAGATTACCAAGATGACAGAGACTGTCAGTGCATGTGGGGTCAGACATGCACATGTAACTGGCCCTTCGAGAATATCAGCTTGGTCATAATGCTAAATGGTGGTATCTTCCACTGTATCTTTAATCAGTGTTCTGTAATTCACACCAATCTTTCCTAGCTGATAGCAGTTACTAAAAAAAAAATAATCAAAAGGAAAAAAAAAATCCATGCACTTCGAGAAATTTGGTTAGATTCTGATTAAATGAAGTATTTTGCATCATTTGTTGGACTACTTGAAAGAAAGCATTTCATAGCATCTAAAGATTTTAGTATTAAAAAAACCCACAAGGCTGGTATTTCCAGTCAAATTTGCTTTAAAAAGAAATATTTTGAGAATGATAGTTTAATAAACTGGTTGCTTGGTTGTTTTTTCACTCCAGTGTTTAAGTGGATTAAAACCTGCATTATCTGTTAAGGAAATGTACCAACTAAACCCTTCTGAGTAGGTTAATATTTGTAGCCAAAGTACAGAACAGTAATATTACACAGTTTTACATTGAACTCTCCAGATGCTGCATTTGCATGCTCTTTGTTGACCCTTTTTAGCACAATACCATGCAATTCCAATTGTAAATGTCATTCTTTCCAAATTCTCAGCAACTGTATGCAGTATAGCTTTTAATTCCTAAATCAGGATTTTATTATATGTCTCAGGTTTCTTAATCATAGCTAATACCTTTACCTTACGAATAACTGACACAGGCATTTAACTTGGGTGACACTAAGGAAAACATTATGCTGGACAGAGACAGCAGCATTTCTCAGCACACTGACACATTTCTGACACTCAGGTAACCAGCCTGCTGTAAGGAGTCTGGTGTCAGCTTGTCTTACTGGAGTTAATGAGTGACCGATGGAAGAAAGGAAGCCTGCATACCCCTGAGTTACTAGATAAGGTCAATATACAGGGTCTTATTAAAGTTCTACAGGGATATGAAGTTAAGCAGGGTCAAGCTGCACACTAAGAGACAGCCCAGTTTTCCATCCGTACAAAGAGCTTCAAGCTAGCAGAGTAATGATTCTCAGAAAGGTAAGTGTTTAAGGTCAGACAGTTGTTACCAATTCTGACCATCTGTCTTATTTCTCTGTCAGACATCGCCTCTAGTGGCAGGGAAAACTGATTCAGTTTGCCTGTGGATTTGATTATTTGGAAGGAAAACCCCCTGTCCATTTCTTTGAAAGAGTAGGAGTTTCTAAAGGGAAATAGACATTTTCTGAATAAGTTGCTCACAAATAGAAAGAAAAAAAAATACTAGAATTGACTACAGAGATAACATGAGGCTAGTTCAATAGCATCAAAACTGAGATTTTATTCCAGGTCTTCTTGGGGAAGCTTGAAAATGAGAAATCAGCATTTATACGATGAACAAAGTTTGGCCAACTGGAGTTCTCAAGTTAGCGGAGAATAGGGCCACTTCTGGAGCCTTCCTGGTAATGGTAGTGGCCTTCCCCAGTCTCACACACAGTACTGGGTATCAGCAAGCTGTAAGTCCAAACACAGCCTGCCAAAAATATTCAAAGCACTCAGTTCAGCTGAGAAGTTCCCCTATCTCAATCTGACGAGCTACATTGAGACCTATCCGTGTTTTATCCTGTGATTTCATTACAGCCATGTGGAGAGAATACCCTCTACCTCAGAAACAAAGTTGACATAGTTTAGTATGAAATGCAAGGGGGAACAGAAGGATTCAAAGAAAAGCAGGCCTAACTATAGCCTTTTCTCTAACGACCCATCCCCTCTCTTGAAGAAGCAAATGAATATTAAAAGGTAACAGGTGAAACCTGCTCTGTAAAGGCATCGTTACACTGGAGCACATAGAGCATAAACATTTATGCACCAGAAGAAATGGCTGAGCAGGAGTTAAGCAAGCAGTGTACATGCATTAAGTCAAGGGAACAGGAACAGTCACAAAAGCCAAGAATGAACACAGGTAAAAGCAAACAACTGACAGTGCTTCCTGGAGTGCTAACAGCATCAAGGCCACACCATGGATAAGACCATACCACAGATGTAAAGCAACAACTGTATGTTACAAATCAGTCTGGCTCTGAGCCTTCTTTGTGAAAACAAAAAGGCTGCAGGTATCACACAGTGTTGGTACCAATCAAGAACCAGGAAGACAAGGTGGGGACATGATAGCTAGCAGTCCTTGATCTCCATGCCACCACAAGTAATCGTGGTATCTTTGAGAAAATGAAATCAGTTTTGTTTAAAACAGAGAGCACCTTCCCCTTCTGTATTGTGCACTCATAAAATAAAAGTTTGCTACATTTATTGTGGCAACAAAATGGAAGGAAGAAAACAAAGTTTTACTTCAATTATGTAAACAGTATCAGTACAATGCATAGAAGTTACCTCAAGACTTAATGGAATTTGGGTAAGAGCCCTTGTTTGCAGAGTACTAACCTTTCAGGAAGACACAGCATTAACTCATGATAAAAAGGTGGTATGGGCAGAAGAACCATCTCAAACCAAGAGAGAAGACATTTACATTATGCTTCAGTTTGCACAAGTGTACAACTTAGACCTCTGCATAAGTGGGCACACTCCAGGCTCAAAACAAACCGTCCTTGATTGTTGTGGTTCTGAACAGAAGCCAAGTAGATTGCAGCAGCTGTATATTCAATGAGTTGGTGTGATAAAAGATACGATTGTCAAAGCTGAAGCATGATTAGTACGACATAAAGTTTACAAGGTGACGAGGTCACAAATTATTAGTCATCTAAATACTGTTTAATAACATATGACCGCATATTGAGTTATGTTCACCAGGAGTCCCAAATATTCCTTCCAGAGTTCTGACCTAAGTCACAAAAATTAAAATCAAACCACGCAAAAGCCTAAGATTAAGAAAAAATATTGTGATGATCCTTTTTATAATTTTATCTTACTCTGTGATATACATACACTTTATGTACAACACCACCATTAAGAGAAAGGCCCTGACACAGGCGGCTCTGTTCAAGAACTCATCTGAAAACAGGACTTACTGTATATGCTCATGGTATAGAACAGGACCAACCATACATACAGTGCATGGTGTGCCAAAAGAATTGCAGTGTGGGAGCTGGAAGGGAACAGCTCCTGAACTTACATCAGGCAGAAGCGTTGCTATTTTTGAGCATCTGCTGTGGTAAACACATGACTCAAAAGCATACAAGACGGTAGCCCTGGTCACAAAAAATCCTCTTTTCAACTCCATGCTTACAGAGCATAGTGACTGTGCTTTATACATTCAAACACTGACTGCCCATCTGATTCAGTGCCTACTCTACAACTTTTGCCAATAGGAGCTTAGAGGACTGCTACTTGTTCTGCTGGAAAAGGTTTCCATCAGGGAAGGGTATCATCTAGGCACATGCAGCATCTGACAAGAAGGGGATGGTGTTACTCTCAAAGCAAAGCTGACAGAATACTTAAACTGTCATTGCCATGCAAACTGTATTTGTTATATCCAACAGTTAGGATACTCACTGAAAAATACAGTATCTGTTTTAGGGGCTGAAGGTTTCCAGACTTTGAAGTCCAGTCAGAATACTGGCCTTGGTAAGTTCAATGCAAAAAAGTTTACAGTACTCCTAACTCTCTCTTTCCAATTCAGATTAACATATTTTTGTACATATGACTGTGAGACGTAGGACTGTTGTTCACTTAATCCCCCAGCCTGCATTCAGGATGATGTTTGATTACAAACAGTGAAAACTGTGGTAATGTTATTTGATAAACATTTTCTCTACACTGTTAATTAGTTCTTTGTGGGAAATTCAATCTTCAACTGCCAACAACCAATACAGAACACAGTAGGGCACTGGAAGACTAGTAACTGTTCTCCCTCACAAGGCCAGCATACTTCACATTGGCTCAAGGAGGGAGTAAAATGAAGTAACATGGGAGCAAGAAGATTGATGCTCTTCCTCTACAAGCCTCAACATCATCTACTAATACACTTGCCACATACATTAGAAAACAGAATGCTGAAAGCAGTTCACAGGTGGGAAAATGACAATGGCTCACCAGGTATCCCTGAGATCCACTGCACAACAGGGGTGGGCATATGGTTAAGCTGCATCAACAGCACCTACTCTCTTCTTTCTCTTCACTGCAGAAGTTTGGTTACCCAGCAGCCTCTTTGCAACACAGCCATGCTGGAAATCAGGCAGAGCTGAGCCCAGTATCTACACTATGAATTGTTCAACAGCCACAGGTTGACAGGAGGGCTGGTATAGTTTTCCCAGCTGGATCTCCCTCCATCTCTTATTGCAATCTTGAGGCTGCGAAGGAAACAGTATTTATATGCTCTCAGATAATCTCTCCTGGAAGACTGGAGTCTGCAAAAAAATCCTAACACACCACATTAAATCTGTGCATCATATTGTTTTCAATATAGTAGATACATCCTTGGAAAGTCTTAATGCATGACTGCTGAAAGAGCACATGCAAACTCATTTGTTAATACAGTGGCACATTAACTGGCACAAAAAGCATCCTGTGCTTCTTTTATGATGACACATTTTTCCAACACTTATTATAGGGCTGGCAGACAATCATATGTACAGCTAAGCTCCAGGTGAGAGGGATGTTACTTGTAGTTTTGCTCCATCTGTACAGGATAGCACATGACTCAGCATAAAGGTTCTGCAAAATTAAGTCTGTGTAAATCTGTAGCCAGCAAGCAGCTTTGACAGTTACCACCTCAAAGCACCAGTCAAAGTAACAAGACAGCAAACCAGAGAAAGCAATCTTCATGGGGTTCTTTATTCAGAAAAAGAAGTAGGGTTAATGAAACCTCTGTTTCAGTAAGGAAATATTAAATTCACATTTTACATATGAAAATATTACAAAATAACCATCCAGTGACTATTACAGCGTTTTTTCAATGCTTGAGACTCAGGCCATTTTCACTCTTTTTCATCCACCATCCACAGCAATCAAAAAATCAGCTTTTTTGGCAATCCTGAAAAGGTAAATCACATTGTTATCAAAGTAAATGGGTCCAGCCCCCCCCCCCCCTTCTTGAGATACATCTACTCTGAGCTGCTTAATGCTGCAGCAGCAGTACATGATGACTTTTTCCAATTAATCTGTGAAAGAGTGCTAGGATCAAAGTTCATGTGAATCAGTACATGTCCTCCAAATGAATCACAAATCCTGTGATTAAGTGTTAATTGCATTTAGGATACATATACATATAAGTATTTCTCTTTGCTGGTTAATTCTACTTTTAAATCTGAGAAAGGCAAACTATTCTAAGGCTTAACCCTGCCCCACCATGCATACACACTTAATTATTTTTCTTACAAGCTGTCACTACCCAGCAATTAGCTGTCTGTAGGAATCAACAGCCCTTTTAGTCTCTGTCTCATTCTTTAACAATGTCTTTGTTTTGTATCAGCTGTAGAGGTGATGAGGGCAGCAGTACTTTTCTGTCTCTATTCCAGATCTTGTTCTCTCATTTCTTCATATGCAACTTATAACATAGGTAGAATTAACCATAGCTGCCTTCCAGGATGGATATGAAGCTTACAATGAAAGGATCCAACTGTTTTTACGTGCCCTATAGGCAGAGGTCTCCTCTAAAATACTCTGACATTGAATCACACCCATGAACTTTAAATGAATGCCCAAACAATACAAATTCTTAACCTTAGATAGGAATAGAATGGTTTGTAGTTTTTTTCCAAACAGATGTAGAATAGTTCTGAAATTAGATAGATTCTTTAATACTGCATTAACTCAGGGAAAAGTTTAGGACTGTATTGTTTATACTTTCTGTTTTGTGAACCTACAGCTCTGTAGAACTGCAGATTAATAGAATTAGAAATTACTGTCCTGGGGAAGGAATGCTGCTTTTGATTGTTTGCCAGAGTGAAGAATATGGACAATGATGTCATGGTAGTATTAGTGTGTCCACATACATCACTGATCAGAAATAAGTGGTAGCAATAGCTAGAAATGATGCATGCTTAATACTCTTCACAGGCAGTCATCCATTTAGTGATAGTTTTCCACTGACAACAAAGAGGCTGTTTTCTGAGAAGTACAGCTGCTGCACATTTAAGTTTGGTGAACACACCCCACACGCTGTAAGGTTTTGCTCTCGTGGAAAAGCTGCACTTATAAGGTTGGCATAAATTCTTTCTCCTGGCAGCCAGCTCCTGGCACCAACATTTTATAAGAGGGTATCCATCAGTAATCACTCAGTCTATTCTGCTAAGTTCCAGGTACCACCTCAACAGGATTAAGGGAAGGAGAATGTACTGTGCAGGATGCAAGCACAGACCAGCCTAAGAATTTTGGGGATGCAACTTATTTTTCTTTGAAATTACTTTTGGACAGTTCCATCCCCAAAAGCAATAAAAATATGCTGTCCTTCAAATTTTGTTTAAACAAAGACTGTAGAATTGTTTTTCCAAACCAATATTCAGATTTTAGCTTTAGATGATAACACCACATAAGGATGTCAAATGAAATCCAGAGTAGCAGATCTGCTATCTCTAACATTGGCTCTCTCTTTTAATGTTCGCTGGCACTAGAGGATCTACCTTTGAGTAGAACCTTTCTAGTAGAACCAGATCCTCTGGTTCTGTCAGCCTAGCCAAGGTAGTAACGGAACATAATGGAAAATCCACATCAGAAAATCCATTATGTTTCCATTTCTACTTAGTGAAATGATACTGCTTTTTATACTTGATACTCAAATGTCTCAAAAAGTAATGCTGACTTCCTAAATGCCTTAGTCATAGCCAATCCCAAAACTCCTGGCATTTAACACAAAGTCTGATTTCCTCTTGCTGAAGATGAGACTTTTGGAAAGAAGTTAAAGCAATTAGTGCTCTAGCTTGATACAGCTCTAGAAGATCTGTCATTATCAAATGAACACTGTCAAATGTTCAAATGGTTAATTCACAGAACTCAAGAAAGCAGTGCTTCCTCTCTCCTGTCTTTTAGTTAACAGGCATGTATGTTTTAAGGCATGTACTCCAAAATGGTAATCACAGAAAAGGAGCTAAAAAGCTTAAATTAATTACCTAATCTATAGTAACTTGACAAGTTTCCACATGTTAGTTGACCCATGGTACTGGGGTCAGCAAAGAGCATTCAAATAGTCAACTGATTAAATTTTTCTTTGAGATTAGAATCTTAAACTAGTGAACTATTAAGTTTTACTTTTAATTTGACACAGACTAAGAAACAAGTCAAAGTGCCTAAAAAGTAAATTTAACACTGATAATGTAGCTGTGCCTCTGAATTCAAGAGGAAATGCACTTTCCTGAACACATCTCCATTCCAAAGAGATCACTCTTATATGAAAACAGTCTCATACTGACAATAACAAAAAGCTGTTACTAACCTGACAACTGCTATCTAGCTGTTAAGACGACCAATTCCAAATTTAAGAACCAATATTTGCCTCTCAGCTAGAAGGTCTGAGTAATTTAGTGTCAGATGTCCATCTGGAGTCCTCAGACCTTTTCTTGCCATGAAGATATGAAGTACATGCTACTGTTCAGGGAAGACTGGAGGCTCCATATAGAAGTAAATGTTAGGGAATTGGCTTCCTTTTAAGAGGGTCACAGAAATGTGCTTAATGTTTCTTACCCAGAGTGGTCTTAACATGTAACTTGCTTAGTCTAAAAGAGAGCAAGCAGAAATCTCTCTTCTGAACCTGATTTACATTCTCCAGTCAGTCATTTGAAAGAATAACATGCTATGTTTCTCTCTATCTCACCCACCCTGCTTTTTTTGTTTTAAATGATGTAAAGTTATTTCCATCTCAGTAAGATGTCTCAGAAAAAAAAAAAGAAATAAAGAGCATCATAATAGCCTATAACTTACTGGGTAGTACCACAATCCATTACAGAAATTAATGGAATTAGATATTTATTCTAACAGATTCTGAAGCATCATAAAAGAGCCTTTTCTGTACTAGTTCTGTTAGAATACAGGATGAAGTAATTCTCACCCCAAAGCATTTATTCTAAAACATAAATCATTAAAGGGCTTCAGCTGTGCTGGTGTCTAGGGATGTAGTTCACTCAAGAGTTTTTGTTCTGAAACACATTCCTTCTGAGCATGTAGTTCCTATTTTAAAACAGGTGAAACATTAAGGGGTTACCTTGATCTATTCCTTCTAGTCTCTTCCGTTTTAAATTCCAAAGTGCATTGTGTTGCTCCTTTACAGCTTCTGCAGGACAGTTGGGTCTTGGCAGTTGATTTCCTGGTGTGGGTCCTGGTCGGTTACTGAAATACTTCTGTTTCAATGCCTTCATGATAATGGAAGAAAAATAAGCAAGTAATTAGTATAAAGTGTCAGAACAACATCTACAAAGAGGTTATAAAGCAATAAAGCACTGACTTTAAAAATACTTAGACACTTTTACACTAGAAGTTGAACTTAGGACAAATCAAGGCTTTGTGTTTTCAGTTGACTACCCACAGCACTTTGATTTGTAAGCCAAGAGATAACTGAGTACTGTTATTTTTAACTAGTGCTCAGACATCTAGCAAAACTCTAGACTACATTGCAGGAGGTTTTGTACAAACAGCAAGTTTCTACCTCTGAAGAGCTTACACTCTGAATAGACAGATGGAGACAAGAGGATAAAGAAGAAAGTAGGAATGAGGAAAGATTAAAAGAATGGATCTGAAGTCTTGATCAGATCCAAGACCTGGGCACCAGCTGTTTTGCTAGCTTTTAAGATAGGTCTTTCCCCAAAATTTGTGTTGTTTCTACACTGTAAACTGAGAAAAATGTAGTTTGAATTGGAGCAGAAGACAAACACAAGTGAGCAGGGTTATTTCATGTAGTCGAATTACACACCCTGTTTTAATTTTTAGTAATTCCACAGCTTCCATAAAATGTGGTTAAGGAAAAGAACCTAAGCTGTCTCTTATATAATCATTACTCTTGCTAGCATCAATTACATGGTATTCAATGCTTGCCGTGAATCAAGCCAATAAAGTAAGCACAAGTTTTTTACTGCCTTAAACTGTGTCATTGTCAATAAAAATGCTAGACTAGAAAAATCATATCTATTCAATGTTCCAGTCACCATCCAAAAATATGACCTATAAAATTATTTCATACATATGAACTAGTACAGAGGTGTCCCAAGCATAGCACAACTGATTATTTAGAAACATACTAAAAGTTCTTAAAAGTTGATGACCAAAACAACCTAAATATGCTCTGAAAAAGTCTTCTGGCAAAAAGATAATTAACACATGCACTGATTCCTAGATTAGGATTTGCCTTG